ATGAAAGCGTTGGTTATGTCTGCTTTAGGAAGCCAAGCTCCTTGACCTGTGAGCTTATTCATTTGCATTGTCAAACAAGGAGTAATTAGAGAGAAAGACTCTGGTGGAATGAGACTGTTCACGCTGCGAAGGGACCAAAGCAGGGAGCAGAAAGGTAGGAAATTCATCACTTTTGGGATGTGGGATCCGGGAAGAGATCAAGCCACCAGACAGACTGACTGGGATGAGCGTCTTGTGGCTGTTAGAAACTGGCAGTTGAATTGTACATGCTTTCAGATTTAAATGATTTCAAATTGAAAACGTGTTGAATGGTGCCTGGGGGACATGTGGGTGCACTGATGACATGGAGAGGGGATCTGGTTTGAGAATTGAAATGTCACTGAAAGACAGAGATGTGTGATCTGCCGCAGGAATTACAGGTGATCATTTGAGAGCCTCTGTGATCATCATGAGTAATGTGGGCCAAATTCAGGTGTGTATTGAATTGAGCTTTGCTGGAAAAGGCTTTGTGATACTGAAAGAATTATGTTCCTTCCGTGTCTTCTTCCGGGGTAGACGAAGCAAAGTGTGTCGTGGTTAATGCTGAAGCAACGAGGAACTGCCGATCTACGGTCTCTGTTTGGACTTGGATTGCGGATCTGAGCACAGCAGTGATGAATTCACCATAGTGACGCGATGAGGCTGACAATATTAATGCCATGATGCTGAAGCTGTGCAATGAGGAAATCAGCCTTGTCTGGGAGACTCATCATTTTGTGAGTGACTATAAAATCTAAGGTTTGAGCTAATAGATTGAAGGTTTTAATTGAATTTATTATTGGTGATGATCTGCCGTACTGCATCCCTGACAGATCCATGCCAGACAATTTGTTTTTGATGAGAGATGTTTTGGTCCTGTATAAGCCTCCTGTTGAGAAACGGATGGCTGACATCCAATAGAGGATTGTAAATGGAGCAATGGCTACAAACAGATACACGGTCACCTGGTGTCTCATTTATAACCATTGCGTACGCACAAAACGGGGCCTGAAACGTGAAATCGCTACTTCTCATGCAAACAATTTATAAAAACAAACTTGACAGGAAAATGTGCCCATTTCCATCCAAACTCTGATCGTACAAACATTTTGGAGATGGGAAAGTGGCGATGCAGACGTCAGGTGGTGAACTGAAGCAGGTTTTTGATCCACTTCACATCATTAACATTAAGACCAAGAGCTTTAGTTTGCTTGTGCGACAAAATTGTTCCATAAGAACCTTCCACTGAAAAATATATAAAACAACTTACAACTGTCTAAATTAAGTCATTAATCTAAAATGCATCATCAAAAGCTCATCTGCTTCTTCCTCCTCTTTTTTCATCTTCCTCCTATACGTCGTCAAAATGCCCAGCCACAACCCATTGCTGCTTATAGAAGCTATCATTTTTTGTTTTCTGTTTGTAAGCATATGCCTTCCTCCCTCCTCAGGTGGTGAGGGCAGGTGCTAACCTTTAAGTTCAGGGAGCATGTTGTGGTGAAACATTGTGAAATAGGGAGTCACAGAATAAACCCATCCTGACAACACAAATGTTGTCAATGCTGTCAGATTTGGTGATTATACATGTGGAGTGTACACTATTTTTAATTCTGGCTAGATTAAATGACTACCTATGCTGTTATAGAGTGGGAGCTTCACAGCTGGTGCTGTTAACATGTTTGGTTCTACAATGCGACCAAAACTAAAGCAGGTCTTCAACTGGTCATATATAAATAGTATTTATTCTCCAGAGTGAACACGGAGAGGTGATCAATAACAGAAGTTATCAAATAGAAAGAGGGCTGGGCATTGTGTGTGTGGTCTGTGAGACCCATCTAGCACTTAGCTGAGGGTCGTCAACATCGTTGAAAGCTTTCTGACAATGAGGAAAACTGAGTTACGTGATTTTATCATGATAGAGATAAAAAATACATCCTCAGCTTTAAAGGATTTTGTTAAACTGGTGAGAAATGAACCCTCTTGAACCCACAGCAGTATTATTCTCGTAGAAAATATAAGCCATGGGATGTGTTTGGAGACTTGAAAGCAGAACGAGAGTGAGCAGCAGACACAGATTAATACAGACAGGTTGTCAGATGGATGGTTTTATAATCTGTCTTTGTCACACAGCATACCTCTGACAGCTGGGAGCTGAGCAAATATTAACAGAGAGCTTCCATTCATCAGGCCTGGAGATGAGTGAAATGAAACTTGACTCATAAATATAGACAAAAAGATCTGTGGTAATTGGTCTGATTCACATGACAACTATTTGGATTTAAAAATTTAGAGAAAAATTATATTTATATATACACTGTAAGTACAGTTTTTGTTCCTTGCCTGGTTTTATTTTCAGAACAAAGCATTGCTTTTAGTGTGGAGACTTTTCTTTTTTTCTGGTCACTCTGATTGACAAATTTTACGAGAGTGAGAATACACTATTTGATAATGAAGTAGTTTTGTTAGTTAAGTTTGTTCAAGATGTTCGTTCTTGGTCTGGACTCAAACTAAACTAAAATGTTTCTGTAATCAATCAAATTTTATTTGTATAGATCATAGTCATTGATCAGAATTTGTCTCACAGGGCTTAGAAAGGTGCAACATCCCCCGTCCTGAACCCTAAACAAGAGTAAGGAAAAAATACAAAAACCTCAGAGAGAGCCACATGTGAAGGATCCCTCTCCCAGGACGGACAGAAGTGCAATATATTCACTTGAACTCATCAACAAAATTACACCATTTAGAACGGTAATTAGAAGAAACCCTTTTTAGGCGTTATTACCATTAATGGTAGAGTATGTGAGGAAGCATATTATATGTCAAGCAGTCTTGTAATCATTGTCCATGATCAGCTGCCACCACAATCCACCACCACTATAAACGATCAGCTGCCACCATGATTATGATCCACAGTCCACCATCACAATCTCTGGTTCGCCGTCCATCGTCATGAACTATGAACTATGGTCCAGGATCACAATCTATGATCTGCCAATAATCCAATAATAATCATATTAATAATCAAATCAAAGTAAATATGTTTATTTAAATAGCAATTTTATTATGTTATTATTTGCTTTACAAGGATGAAACAATGACGATAAAACAATTTATGACTATGAAACATGAGCAGACAATACATTTCATTCAATTTAATTCAATTCAAGAACTTTATTTGTCCCTGGAGGGCATTTCTAAGGCACATAGACAAGTTCAGGAAGTGTTGTAAATACGTTTGTGACATAGACAGATGCACATTGTGGTTCACAGCAGACTTAAACTTATCTTTCACCTGAATTTGAATGTTTACCTGATGCATTTATGTCACACACATAAATGGTTACAAGACTTTCTGTATGCATTTAAAAACAAAAGCATTCCAGTGTTTCTGACTGAATCCATTCTTTTGTCTAAAAAAAGAAAGAGGTTTTATTGTAAAATATATGGAAAAATGCATGGCTTCATACTGTATAGTACTGCTTTTTATTTGAGTACACAGGACAACTTTTATACAAGGAAATAGTCATATTTATGGCTATATTAAGGCAAAGCCTATGCAAAAAATGTTTGCTGCCGTAGCAGCTCCTCTGCAGAACATATTGTTGAACTGAGAAGCTAAATATTGTGCATTGAACAGATGCTGTAAATATGAATTGATATTAATGTGAATATTGTACATTGAATAGATAAAGATGCATAACTGCCTTATTTTATATATTTATGCTCATACATTGAGCCTTTAACAGAAATTGCAAAAATAATAAATATGACCATCCTAACTGGGTTTTTTGGAAGATATCAGGCTGGTAGATCTCAGCTTACATTCAGAATTAAAAAGTGATGTTGCTCTCAAAAAGGTTGATGAGCAATGATATAGGGGCTCTGATCGCAAAAGCTTGGTCACCCTTAGTTACAAGCGGAGACATGGAGTAACCAGACCAATATAATTATATAACCTTGCACTGTATATGGTTGTAAATATGAATAAAAATAACATAGACATATCTCAGGATTTAATAAAAAAATATTGACAAAATTAACACAAATCTGCAACTAGATACAATATTCCAGTGGCAAGTGGAGGCTTTTGTGCAGCTTTTGTCTGCAATTGCTGGTAATATTTGATTTAACTGGGACATGGAAATGTTGTACCAGTCACAGATAAGGGAGAGACATTTTAGAATGATTGGAGAATACTAAGAGATCTACTTATGTTATGTATATGCACAGCTGTTGTGGTTTTTATAGGCTTGCTAGTTGACTCTACACTCCAACCACATAATACAGTGTTTTAACAGGCACACAATGGGGCACCCTTGTTCCCACGACAACTATGAAAAGACCTCTGCTTTGTTTTTATTGCCTCTATGTGTGTCTGTGTTTTCATGGGCCTGGACAACCTTTGGTCTCTGCTCATGTGGGCAATCAAATAATTCTCATTCAAAGATAAAGATGCCTATTTTTAAATG